GTTTCACAGGAAAAAAAAAAGATCACTTTTCAGATTTCAGACGTAAAAACAAACAGTCTGACTGATTCAGATTTCAGACTTCAGCACCACCTCTTAAAATTCAGAAGTGAATTCAGACTTCAGACTTCAGCACCTCTTAAAAAACAAACGCCACCTAAAATGCCCTCCACGAATGATGTCTCTATTAAGGACGTTAGGGCAAAAATACTTATTTCAAAATCACATGTAAACTACAAATACAATTTTTAGACCTATTAAAAATTAAGGTTCTAAATGACGAGATGTATGGTGGTGATTTTACGATGAAGTTACAACGTTTTTCAAGGCATTGCCCTAAAACAACATATGTATGCATATATATATATATATATATACATACATATACTTGTATCGTTGGTGTTTTGAATAATACTGTAATTTTTTTAATACATATAAAATTATAAAACTAAAAAGAAAAGAAAATTCATTAATCTCAAATATATCTTATAAGAGAATGATATCAAGAATGAACAATCAGGATTAAATCTTTTAGGTTTCTACTATCTACTTTCTTCAAATTTCAAAGAATTCATATTCAAGCCTCCATGTATGAGAATCAATTTAATAATTTATCTCTTCAGGGTTTTAGTTTTTATGTTTCCTTGTAATGTTTATTTAAGTCTTAGATGTCGTAAATAATTATCATATATCTTCCAAATTATGTGTTTAAAAAGTTTTTAAAAAACATATGTCTTACAAAATAACGTGTCGTAACATGTCATAGCGTGTTACTATGAAAGACAAACCTTAAAGTGGAGCCACAGAAGTTAACATGCCAATAATACCAAATCTTGACGCCATAACGCACTATAATAAGTAAGTTAAAACTGAGAAATTAATTAAAATAGTCATTTTCAGCTTGTGATTTCACCACTTAACCATTTATCTTCTAAAATCACCAAAATATCACTACCTCGGCAAGTGAGAGGTCTGCAATTCATGAAGGGGTCAAAGTGTAAATTTCTTTTTACAGATTTGGTCCTTGCAGCAAGTTCAAAACTTCTTTTTTTACGCTTTGACCCCTTCGTAAACTACAGAATTACCACTTGTAGAGATAGTGAGATTTTGATGATTTTATAAAAAAAATGACTAAGAAATGAAACCAACGTCTGAAAATGGCTATTTTAATTAAAATTTCCTTTAAAACCACGATTAAAACATAAGACGAATTTCAAATTTGCAATGTAACAACAGTGATTACTCTTATGAATCACATCTGTTATCCAATCATATCATAACTTTTCAAGATTCCAGCAGCAAACCAATAATGGAGATGGTAGTGACCCTTCAGTATATATTACATATATATATATATATATTATAATCTCTGCATGATACCTCACAAATACAATATCTAGGGGTATAGCTCTTGCCGGCCTCAATATTATATGATATGTCCATCTCTACGCACACCAGCTGAATCTTTCCCCCAAATCAACGTCACTCACATCAGATCCATTCACGGAATCAAAGTTAGCACATATCGTTTTAAGGGGGGTGCTAATGTCACCCCTTATAGGGGGGTGTTGAATGTATTGGAAATTGTAATGAGTTTGAAATTCAGAAAACATCAAATCAATTTTAAAAATATATTATATTTAATTATTATTAGTATTTAATATATATATATATATATATATGTCAATTAATTAAGTTATATTATATAATTATATATATATAATTACAATAATCTTTATATACTTTACATATATTATATAATATTTTTATTTATA